TCGAGACTGTCATTTCTTCATCAAAATTAATATCATTATCTTCAACTACTTCACATGTTTTTAAAATATCTTCATCCTCATTTGATCAAATTGCAAAAGAAAAGAGACATTTAACGAATAGGTGGTGAAATTTTATAGACACTAAGTTCTTTGGCTTTGGTATTTGCGCTTCATCATTATAAACCCACGCCATTGTACGTGATGGATGAAATTGATGCCGCCTTGGATTTCAGAAATGTGTCAATCGTCGCAAACTATATAAAAGAACGAACAAAAAATGCCCAATTCATTATTATTAGTTTACGAAATAACATGTTTGAGTTAGCCGATCGATTAGTTGGTATATACAAAACTAACAATATGGTAAGTTTACAGATCAAGATTTTAAAGTATGAATAATAATAATAATCATAATAATAATTATAATAATAATAATAATAATAATAATGATTAATAATCTAAGTAACTTATTATTATTTATTCTTTGTAAACTTAGACAAAATCAATCACCATATCCCCGCGCGATATCATGTTACAATAATATGATAAAATGCTTAATAATAAAAATCTAATTAATGATTTCGTGATATATAAATAAATTTTCTTTTAATATATCCGACAACAACGTACGTACGTACGCACATACGATGTACTGTACGTACGTAGCAGTAGACTAAAGGTTAACGTTAGTTAATGTACATTTTTACTATTTGTCACTTGCCATATTTGTGCAAATTAAATAACCATAGCGATAGTGTGATAAAAGATGATTTGGAAAGTCATTAATGCCGTATTTGTTTAGATAGATTCATTAAACAGTCATATATTGTTGCAAAGTAAATCTTTAAGAACAATAAGAAACGTAAAAAAAATAGATAGATAGAATGGAAGTTGATACGTTTGAGTCGACTCCGCATGAACTTCCACATATTGAAAGTCAGACAACGCCTGATTCTTTAGCAGCTTACAGTCCGGAAGTAGTTGAAGGACAAAATGTTCATTCCAAAGATTCAACTACAAATACCGAAAAGCAAACGAAACGTTCAGGAAAACGACGCCGTAAAACACTTGAAACAGAAGATAATCAAACACCAGCCGCAAGTTCGTCACAGCCTTGTCAGAAAAAACGTATTTTACCGCCACGTAAGGTTGGTACTCTGGCAAGTGTGTTAGCCGAAGAAGTTGCGGCCGGCCAAGGTATGGCAACGGTTTTTAGGTTTACCAAATACGAAGATTCAATCTTTTTTACTTTTTATTATTACAAACTCAAAAAAAAGAACCACCACCTGAACCATTCATTACCGGAGAAACGATTCTTATGTTAACTTCGGATGAAGATATTTTAAAAACATGTGAAGTAGTTGAAGATAATGATATTAATTTTGATGAAGAAATGACAGTCTCGA